TGCTCTGCACAGCAGATACTTTGGCCTATCAAAGCAGCAGCCAGGCGTTTTGCACTAGGATGAGTCAGTGATCACTTTTCGCAAGACTTCTGTGGACCGTAAATACATTACAGAGGAACAGATCTGGTTGACATAAGTCTAGTTTTATAACTTAATCCTGGATCAGGCATATATGGCTGACCTGCAGTATAGGGTCCCATCAGTGGAAGACTAATTTTTTTCACAGATTGCTTTTTTATATTTTAGAAAGTCATTTGTCAAAAGGTTTAAACCTTCCACTTTGATCTTAGAAGCATATCAAACAGTCCACATCAGATGCCATAAATGTGAACTGCAAGAGAAAATGGTATGATCTTAGAGGGAACTGGAATCAAAAGGGTTTGCTGTCCTTCTTAGAATGTGCTAAAATGTCAAGATGCTTGTGTTTATGAACAGATATAAATTTATTTTTAACTACAGAGAAAAAGTTCTTTTACCTAAGTGCATAGCAGGCAGTAAGCACAAACGGTGCCAAAACAGTCAGTGGTGAGCACCTCTTGAATCTCATGGTTTATTCTGGAGCAGATGTGCTGATGTGCACTGATGGTAAAGAAGCGCTGGTCGGTAAAACTGCCGGTGCCAGATCATGGATCCAAGCCAGGCACCAAGCAGTGCTAGAAGACATGGGTTCTTCACAGCCACATACTCACAGGGAGAAAAGAAAAGAAGCCAGACTCCCTTAATGAGTAGTCATTAAAAATTATTGATTTTATGAATGTTCTGTATAATGAAATGCAAAAAAGGCATAAAGCACTTCTGCCAGCCTAAGTGTGGCAGTTATCTCAAGTAAAGCATTTGTGTGATGGTCAGTGTTGGGAACCGAACTTTCTCTTTTCATGGAAGTCCATTTTCACTGGAAGTTTGACAAACTATGGTTATTCAGACTTGGCTATCTGGCCAACATTTTTCTGGAAAAGGAGCCTATCACATCAAAGAAAACAATTCCCAGTATTTGTTAGCAAGGATAAATCAAAATTTTGAGTAAAAATTAGAATTTGGGGAAACATATCTGTCACTGTGAGCTTGATATCTCCCCAGTACTTACAGACTTTTCTGAGGAGAATAGGTAATGATGTTTGAATAGGTAGTGACTATGTAGATTTGTTCGAGGAGAATAGGAATGGATTTGTTGGTATGGTAGCATGGAATTTGTCAACATTTGGAAGATCTCCCTTCCAAATTTGGTTCAGTCAAATCTGTGGTTCAGTCAACCACAGTTTTCCAGATAGCCAATGTATGGGACTGTAAAGTCGTAAGTGTGGAAGATCTATTCAAAGTGCAAGGTCACTCGATGGATTCTAATGTCACAGGGTATGCAAAATTCATTGTTGGGGGCTCAGATTCCACATAGAAGCTTTTAAGAAGCTACACTTGTTGAGTTTGGGTGTTGTATCAAAGAAGAAATCCAACAAATATCTGAAAGGGCTATTAAAATACTCTCTTTTCCAGTGACGTGACTGAGTGAGGCTGATTTCTTCATGTCCTTTGGCCCAGACCACATATCTCAGTAGAGTGAAGGTAGAGGCAGATGGATAGGAGAGTGTAGCTCTCTTCTGTGGAGCCTGGTATTGAAGAGGTTTGTAAATGTGCAGCAGTGTCATGCTTCTCATTAATTTTGTTTTGGAAAAAAGTTATTTTTTGAATGAAAATGTTACTTACAGTCATATGTAATGGGTTTATTATTTTTGTTTTTATTTTCTTAAAAAATCCTCACCTGAAGATATTGTTTACTGATTTTTTTTAGAGGGGAGAGAGAAAGAGAAAGAAACATCAGTCAGTTGCCTACCGCATGTGCCCTGACCAGGGATCAAACCCACAATCTTTTGGCGTGTGGGGGGTAATGCTCCAACCAACTGAGCCACCTGGCCAGGGCTCTTTTTTTCTTTTTATTAAATTTATTGAGTGACAGCTTTATTTTTTTTAATGAATTAAAAAAAATTCTTGAAAATACCTGTTTTAGTTTCTCATAGTAGGCATCGATGGCTATAACCCAATTTAATGAAAGCTCTTCGGCATCTTCCATAAAGTTTAAAAATATAAACCTGAAGGTTTGAGAGCTGGTGTTTTAGAACAGACTGGTCATTTGGTTCTCCCTCACCTGCATAGAAGCCAAGTATGGAGTGCCCTCCTGAGGTGGCCACACTGGGGCTCTGGCAGCCTCACTGGGCTCTCCTGGAGGTGGCTGTGTTCTGAAATGGACCTGACTTGAGGGTGGCTTCATGCTTGCGTCCTTGAAGCTGGTCTTAGAGTCTGGGTGGGGCAGGATAGGGTGACGAGGAGGAGACCCTGGCTTTGGAATCAGGAAATCCCTTAAGGGGGATTTTATACCATCACCCCTTGTGAAATGACTGTGGGCCAATAATGAGACCCTCAGCTCCTGTGTTGATATCTGTAATGAGGTGATAATAAATGTGGCGCATGGAGGAGGTAGAAGGCTGTGTATGGTCTCGGGGGCTGTGGTAAAGCCTCTTACACATGCTAACTGCATGCCAAGAGTGAGGTGTGTTTCTGACTTAGGTCTGCTTTCAGCTCTGAATCTACAGACTGTACCTGCCACTTGTCAAAGTATATAACTAACTAGTAGCCTGTTTAAGCTAATTGGATAATTAGCTGAGTGAATAGACTGTGGTTTTATACTAATAAGGAGCTTCTGACCATCTCTCTCTGTCCCCATGAGTCCTCAGCTCATTTCACCCCAGCCACCGGGCAGGAGCCCAGCACCAGCTCTCACCATCTGGGCAGCAGTGGCTCTCCTGTGCCCCGTTATCAGAGAAGCTGGGAGATGTGACTGTGTGCTGTTGGGCATTTGTGAGAGGAAGAGAGAATGTGTATCCATGTGCCTCGGAGGAACTGGTGCTTGTCATGTGGGACCCTTGCTCTGCAGGGGCAAGGACGGGGCTTGCCTGTTTCCGTGTCGTGCCAGAGTGTTTACTGAAGCACTGGCAATGTGGGCGCTCCTGGTCTTTGCTTATCTTTTCTTCCTTAGGATAGATTTCTGGGAGTGGGACTGCTTCTCAGTACATTATTTCTAAGTTGTGTTTTCAGCAAGTCCTAATTTCAGGGCTGTTGGCGCCAGTGCTGAGCAAGACCACCCCTTCCGCAGCATCCATATGGCACTTGCCCACACGCCAGTGCGTCTCAATAGAACACATGGAAGTGGGGCTCAGTTTCGTTTCTTTATTGAGAATTTTTTGGGTCACTTAATTCCTCTTTGGGGAATTTCTAGTTTGTATCTTTGGCTGTTGAGGTTTTAAGCGTTTTATGTCAGTCACTTTGTAGATGTTGGTTGTATTTGCTGAAAGTCTTCTCCAGCATGTTTTCTTGTTAATTTTGGTTATTTTTGTAGTTAGAGGTTCTTTTTGTTCTCCTGTAGTCATGTCTGCTACTCGGTGTTAGGTGACTTGTTTTATTTCTAGCTTAAAAAGTAATCTGTCCCACTCAAGCATGACCACTATGTCCTTCTGGTTTCTTCCAGTTCTTCTCTTGTTTGATTTACTATTTTAAAACTGTCTCTTCTGTTGACCCATCTGAGGCTGCAATAATGCAGGGAGATCTTTTCTTGCCTGTTTGTGAGGCTTCCCTGGTGGCATGGTGCAACTGGCCCACTACCCCAGCCGCCCAGCTAGCTGAGGTTTTCAGCTGGCCTGGGCTTAAATTGACACCTTCCTCCCTGCCCCAGTATAATTTAAATTTTCCCCTTATTATTAATTTGTGATTATTGCAAATTGACTTCTTACCTAACAGGACCTATTGGTTAAAAAAGGCTGTTAACTCCATTGTTTTTTCTGTGTACCATATTTTGCCTTGTACAATGCGTACGTGTTTTGCCCAAATTTTTGAGGGAAAAATGAGGATGCACATTACACATGGCTATAATGATTACATACCATGGGTATAATAATCCCGGGTATAATGCGCACCGAAACACGGGTGCATGTTATACACAGCAAAACAGTAATTGTATGCTGCAGTAGAACCTCATTAAATCTCCTTTTCAAAAATCTCCTTGTTTTTTGTTTTCATTTGTTTGTTTTTTAATCCTTATCCAAGGACACCTTTTCACTGCTTTTAGAGAGAGAAGAAGGGAGAGTCACAGATACTTAATGTGGTAAAATTGTCGCTACTTGAAATGTGAGCTGTCATTTCATGTTTTTCAAATATAAATATTTTGATATTTGAAAACATTACATATTTTTAAAATATAAAATATTTTGTGTTTCTACAGAACCTTCAGGAATTTCAGTAATAAGTCAGTGACTGTTAGCTTTAATCAAAAGAGATAGCCTGAAGACTTTAAAACAACATCTTAAATCAAAGTGACATATATTTTGCTATTTATTTGTATTAAATCAAAAGCTGTATTTGAAGCTTTCTCTCCAAATTCCTGCCACGTTTGAATAAAAGCGCTTTATTACTATATTAAAAACACCAGATAAGATGTTCTTAAACCAAGTCCAACTTTATTCTCTTAGGGATTTATGATTCTAAGTGGCTCAGTAGATTCTGAGCACTGACTCGGGGCTCACAGTTTGTGGAGGTAACGTATGAACAGCAGGCTTTGTCCTCAGATTGACTCCCAGTGGGCTCTGCCCTTTTGAAGGGGTTTTGTGTCTCAGTCCTGCTTTATTTAAAATATTGAGGCCTTACGTGACAGGCTCAGCTCTGCAGCCCTGTCTCCATCTACCTTTCCTCAATTGTGTGAAGGCTGCTAAATGAGGGGGGCAGCAGGCGGTATTCCCGGTATGTGGTCCCCACACACACTGAAAGTTCTGTAAAGCAGCACTGCTCTTGTGCTCGTCAGCATTTGGAGTTTCCTGTTGTTAGTGAAGTGAATTTGGAGCTGTGAAGGGAGAGGTTTGGTTAAAGCAAAGCTCAGCAGTGCCATTGGGAAATTTGTTTAGAAGAGAGGAGAATTTCTGTCTCTGACTCTCGTGTCTCATTCTTGTTCTCTTCTTTTGTAGGCATCAGTTTGTAGAAAATAATTTAATACTAAAAATGGGTCCAGTAGATAAGCGAAAGGTAAGTCAGACTCCCACTCCTCCTTCCTGTGCGTCTGCCTGTGTCTCCCTCCTGGTTCTGACTCAAGAGCATGTCTTCCTCTTGTGTTCCTGCTATAACTTGTGGCACGTAGCGTCCTTTGTTTTGGTTCCCTTTTAGAGATCATCTCTAGATTTGATAGCTCAGGGAGATTTCAGCTATTCAAACAGGAAGCTGTTTGAAACCACACAGGTAAGCTGTAGTGAAACCAACAGAGCCTCTTATCTCTTCTCGGGAGCCAGGATTCTGGTGTCTCCACGAGACTGGGTTCACTAATGTCAGAGTTTCTGTCATGTTGAGGAGGCTCTGCTTGACATCCCCACAAGTCACCTATCACTTCATAAGAATTATTTTTAGAAATTGTGTTTTAGTATGTTTTATGGATTAATAAAATAGATTAATTTTATCAGAACATGTCAGAATCCATAAATGTTCTCCATTTGCTGACATGGGCCCTTCTAAGCTCAGGCTCCTGGCCTCCATTCCCGACCCACCCTGGGGCATCCTCAGCGGGTGAGGTGTGAGCACCAGCAGGCAGAGCTCTGTGTCTTAGGATGGAGCAGAAGACACAAGAAGTGGTTGGGGCTGAACATTGATGGTGGGCCTCTCAGAGTTGGCTCAGCCATGGGGACCTGTGCTGGTGAGCTGGCCTGTGCTGCCACTTTCCCATGTGGCAACCAAAGTAGAGATGCCCAAACTGGGAGTGATGGAATCCAGTTCACCAAAACCAAGCAGTAAGTGCTTCCGTTCCCTCTGATCCAAGGCTGGGTCCACATGGGGAATGAGATGTGCACACTCCCTTTGTCCCAGGTGAGTGGATAGGTGGCTGGCTGGCAGCGGTCCCTGTGCCCTGAGCCTTGACAAGTGATGTCCTCTTTTTGTTCCAATCAGGGTTTATTTGCACGACGACGACAGTTACTGCTCACAGAAGGGCCACACTTATATTATGTGGATCCTGTCAACAAAGTTCTGAAAGGTGAAATTCCATGGTCACAAGAACTCCGACCAGAGGCCAAGAATTTTAAAACCTTCTTTGTCCACACAGTGAGTGTTTCCCTATGGGTTCTCCTTTGCAGGGCAGTTGGAGGCCTTTCTACTTCCTGTTTGAAGCATCCGAATGCTATAGCCTGAGGTGGAAGCTGGCTTCAAGGCAGTTGTCTCCTCCTTTCCCATGTGTCAGGGGCCCCACGTTCATGCCTCCGTTGCGAGTGGGGCTGGCAGACAAGCCGTGCTTGTTTTTCACTTTGCGGGTGACCTAAGTGATCTGGAGGTCATCCCCTGCATATTTAATCTCTGCACGTATGTGGAAGGAGGAAACCCACATATCCATGTGCTTCCAGAAGGGGCTTGCAGTGGCTGCAATAGGACAGTGGTTTCTTTATACCACTGGCCTGCGGAGACTCCCTTGAGAACATTAAATGATTTCTTTCTCTGCAGCCAAACAGGACGTATTACCTGATGGACCCGAGCGGGAATGCTCACAAATGGTGCAAAAAGATCCAGGAGGTATGGAGGCACAGATACCAGAGCCACCCGGATGCTGCCGTGCAGTGACAGCCTGCCGTTGCTGCCCTCGCTGCCAGGACACGCGCCCCAGCGCAGCTCACCGCCATCCGGGACGCTTCCAGACCGCCTGCCAGCCATCCCAAGGGGAATGCAGACAGCAGAACCTTGCGGCTTTTTTATTTAAAAGAAAAGAAGAAAAAAATACCCAACTACACCAAGAACAGAACCAATAATGAACAGGAATTCAGGGTCGCTTTGCTTGCTCTCTGTGCTCTATGGAGGATGCCCCAAGCTGTCCTTGCCATCGGCACATCTACCTGATTCCTACCTGGGCCAGTGGACCAATGTCACCAGCTCTCCACAGCGTGTCCCAGTCACCTGCCGGTTCTGCTGTGCCCTAGGGAGGAGTGCGTGTGTCTGGGCTCTTTCCGCCCCCTAGACTGTCACAGGACTTCACCAGGGAGTTGAGAGCACCTCTGCTGGGGGTGGTCTCTGATATCCATGGGGTGGGAGGGTTCTTGGCTTTTGTCCATGTGCACTTTTCCTCACATCCCTCATTCAGGGCCCATGCCCTGTGCTGCGGGCCCCTTGCTTTCCTCCTGGAGTAGCTATTGCTGCAGGACTTCTGTGGTTTTGCTGTCTGTGAGTGCTCCACATGTTGTGACTGCCAGGCAGGCTCCCAGTGGTGAGAAGTAGAACCCGCTGTCAGGTGAAAGACCAGCCACTGCCAGCCAGGTTCCTTCCGATCCATCCTCTCTCTGAGCAGTGTCGCCCTCGGGAGCAGGAAGCCGAGCACGTGCTCTAAGGGAGCACAGTTGGCAGTGGGCCTGACTAGCCCCGGCTGCACCGGGAGGTGGCTCTGCCTGCCCTGTGTGAAGCCAGAGCAGCAGGGCCTGGTAGCCTCCATGTGGAGGAGTGAGACCAGATGAGCCACTCCTGAGAGTTTGTTTCAGAGGTGAAGTGTGCAGGCCTTCCCCAGATCAGTTAAATAGGAGCTGAGAGACTCCTGTTTCTCGCAAATTGGATGGTACTCAGTCACATCCCAGCAGTGGGAGGAGTGCGGGCTGCTGGCTGGCACTTGCATCCTTTTCGTGTTGTGATTGAACATTCTCACAGTCTAACATTTTTACATCCCAACAGTAAGAATCTAAACACCTTCTCATGGTGCCAGATCATCTGGTCCCCACCGAGTGGTTCCCTCACCTTGCACAAGGGGCAGGAACACCACACTTGAACCCAAGCACCTGGCCTGCTCTTCTTTTGTTTCAGGTTCCCTCTTTTAGCTGCTTAGAGGCGGCGCCCACCCTACTGTAAACTACACATGGGCCACGTCCTACTAGTCCTTTGATATTCTTTGCTGCTGCTCCCGGGACTGTGGGTCTTGGCCATTCTTCTCCCTGCCCAGGTGTCCTTAGAGCAGGCCCTGTACCCAGGGGGTGAACACCTTTTTTCTTTAGATTTTCACCAAGGCACCAGCAAAAGGCTCACACAGGAAAGACCCCCTCTCCACTTCCCTGCCCCCGTCTCCTATGTCAGGCCCACTGGTCCATCACCCCGTGTGGCCAGTGGTCCAAAGGCAGAGGAAAGATGCCTTTTTGACACTGTTTGAGTGATAAGAGTGGCTGTTCTTAAACGGGGAAATAGTTTGGATGTGGAGAAGTGCACTGTTCTAGGCAGGGAGACGGGTTTAGGTGGGAGCAGAGGTGGTAGCTAGGTTTGCCGGTGGTGTCTCCTCGGGCCAGTCCTCCCCTGTGTGCGATCTGAGATGGACAGCTCGTGCGCGCACGCATGTGTGCTTGTGGCGGGGGAGGAGGGGCTCTAAAGTGTTGGAGCATGCCTGCTTGGATCTAGTTCCCTCTTTGTTCCTCCTCTTCCTCCTTGCTTTTGAAAGGCTTGTCTGTGTTCACCTGCTTTTCAGAAAGTGAGTCTGACTTGTCCCTTTCAAGAATTTTGCTTCAGGCTTACTCCCATATTTACATTTTACTCTTCTCAAAACACCCACCTGTGTGTGTGCAGTTAGAAGAGCTGGGAACGCACTCCAGTGCAGTGACTCCTGAGTGTCCAGTTACAAGGAAACAAGCATCAGTAGTATTTGTGTGTAATAAGAGCACTCAGCTGGGCTGCTCGGGAGACAAGTCCGCCCCTTGCATTCTGCCCTCTGGATAGCGCCACTACCTCCTGGGCTTAACCGACAAGCTCCATCTTAACCTCTGAAACCAGAGAATAAGGCTTCAGGGTTGAGCTCAAAGCTGTTAAGTGACTGCCCTCCCCTGAGCCAGTGACAGCTGAGCCCTTCTCTGTAAGTCAACTTTCTCTGCTCACTCAGAGTCCTTTTTTTTTTTTTTTTTTTTTTTTTTGCCCATGCATATTCTTTTCTTACCCTGTATTTCTGTCAACTCTAGCTTTATCCAACTTATCCTTCCAACCATCATCTTGGCATGCAGGTGCCTTACATTCTGAGATGTGGATGAGGGTGTCAGTCTGTGTACATCACAGACATACATAGAAATACAAATACGGACTTATCCAAAGTGAGAAATGCTCTGTTGTTTAATAGATCCAGGAGCCATGTGTCTTATTGAGAGAGGGCAAAGACAAGTGTAAGTGCCAAACCAAGTACCCACCAACTAGAGACAGTCCCACACCATGTGGCCTCTCTTGGCATAGAGGGGAGGGAGGACAGCCAGGAGGTTCTGTGGTCTCCACTGTGCCTTGCCTGTCTCTGGGAACTCGAGGAACCTGGGCTTGCATAGGTTTCTTTCCCTCTTTCTGTAAACCTGACCAGGGCCACAGGCAGTGGGCAGCCCTCTGTGGAGTGCGAAGCCCCACTGGTGACTGGCACCGCCAGCTGCCTGCTGTTCTGAACCTGACTCTCCACTGGCTTGTAACAGGCTTACTTTGGGAAAAATGGCTCTTGTGGTCATGCCAACACTGGCAGGAACTGCACCTACTCCAGACCCCTTGGGACACACTGGTATTTGTGGCCCCGGCCTGAAGGAATTACAGGAGACGGCCCCGTGGCACAGTCACACATACCACACCCCCACAACCCTGGGCAGTGCGCCGGCCCGGGGCAGGGGGCTCTAGTGACTCAGTACTTTCTTAAAATACTTTTCTTAAAAAAAAAAAAAAAAAAGTCAACCCTAGGCTTACCACCCAGAAAAGACCACTGTGAACATTTTGGTGTATAGTGAGTTCTCCTCCCAATGTTTGCATTTTTATCTAACCTGGGAACATACAGCATACACTCTTTTGCATCCAGCTTTTTTCACTTGATAATTTTATCTTAAGCATTTCTCCATGTCATGAACAATGATTCACAAACATTTTTATTGATTGTAGAGTTTAAATGGTTATAAATTTTATCATAATTTATCTATTTCTGTTATAAAACATTTAGATGGTTTCTGGTTTTTCACTATTTAAGTAATGCTGTGATGAATATCCTCCTAAATCTTTGATTTTTTTTTTTTTAAATCTGATCCCCTCTTCGCAGAAGTGGTATTTTCAGTAAGAGTTATTTGTTTAAAAGGTGGTATTAATCGGTTTCTCTGTCTTGATCTGATGCTTAGATATTCAGAGTTCTGTTACAAGACCTTAGTTTCATTCAGGTTTTGAAGAAATGAATTCTTGGTAAACTCTGTTCAAATTCTTATTCAAACAATGTTTGAATAAGACTGCTCTTTTTCTTTTTTTAATGCTAAAAATGATGTCATCACTGCAGTCTATTTGTGACAGATTTTTTTTCCAAAAGCCAATTTTCTTATTTTCATTGAAAGAATTTGGTGTACTTGCATGTTAGTTATTTCCCATCCCTGCTGCTACGGCTTTCAAGTGCTTGGTGATATTTTCAGAATCCTGTACTTTGTGTCCACAATGGTACTGAATTTGCATCTGCACAATCAGATAGAAAGTGTTGAACTGTTCTTGCCACATGATTAGTGGGTGATTTGTAGTTAAGTTTATAGACTCAGAGTTATGCTGAACCATTTGGAATCAGTAAAGGAGCAAAAAGCTCTACCTGAAAACACATGGACAGTTGGGTTTTACACAAGTGTGTGTGTGCCCCACCCCATCTCCCAGTGCTCTTCAGATCCTGGGATTTGGTCAGAGGGACTTTTCAGTTGAGTACAACACCTGGCCAGGCTTTTTCGTGGTATAATGTAATTGTCCTGCATGATAAGGATTTAAGGACTTCCCCCCACTTCTCCCCTGGTGTTGCAGGTTGTGTAGTTGTCTTCAAGGCCAAACCACCCAAATTTGTTTTCATCCTTAATGTCTCCACTTTAGTTTGGGGTCCATTAATTCCGAAGAGAAACATGCACAAGAGATTTTTCTAGGTCCCATGCTCAGTGCCACTTGACCGCAAAAGATTATGGCTGACTTGTGCGGAATTAGGTCTCCTGCCCTCCTCTGATAACCCCAACCCCCTCCTTCGGCCTGTCAGTTCATAGACAGGGTGCTCTCTGCCCAGACTGCAGAGGATGCAACCTCTGGGAGAGTGGTCATGGTACTGTTCTTGGAGATGTTGCCATACATGTTTTTCTATGTTATTTTTCATATCCAAACCTAATTGGAACTGATGGTGACCCAAGCGGGTGTGTCCCTGGCCTCTTGGGCCGCCTACCTGCAGAGTGCTTTACATCAGGGCAGGAGTCACTCCCAGAGCCTCTGAGGGGCACAGGCTGCTGGCAGGGTTGTAAATCAGGCCGTGCGTGGAGAATTGGTCTGGGGAGGAAGCATCCCAGCAAAGGGCAGGTTTCTCTGGCTCAAACAGCTGCGGTTGTGCCACTGAACAAGCCTACGTGTATACCTGAATATTCCCCATAGCTCATGTCTTCAGTATGAGGAAACACCAAACATTATGTACAGAGAACTTTTTGCAAAAAGCAAAACTTTTTTAGTTGTGTAACCCACCTAGTCTAACCCATCTGGCTGAATGACTATAAATAGGGGTCATTTTACGGGTGAGAAGCCTCTATCACCATCATAAGTTTGATTGGATGTTGGCAAAATTAAATTTTGCAGTATTTAGAGCTGCCGTACCTGTTCCTTAACACAAAGTCGGATGAGTCAATAGTGTGTTAGCTGTCTTTCAGGTTGGTGGCAGTCAGTTAGAACATGTGTAATATTCTCTACCTGGTCTGTAGCTGTAACTGTGATGTACAGGCAAAGCAAAAATTTAAAAAAAAAAACTTATGAAAAACAAATAATGCAATGATAATTAGGATATACACTTTTGTATTTTTATTCTTATATAAGGTTATTTGCTGGCTACTGTTGGCCTCTAATTCAGTCTGTGTTATTTAAAGTCTAATATATGAATTGTTTGGATTGAATTCATGTTCGGGGCCACGTTGTTATATGTATTGATGTACAGCCTTGAATGTGAATAATTATTGTAATCTATATTTTACAACTTTTTTTCTGGCTTTATTATATAAATTTTCTATGTGGTCAATGATTTAATCATATCATAATTTAATGAATCTGTTCCTCTTTTTTCAAATATTTGTGCTTTAGCTGTAGTTGCCGGATGAATTTTACACGTATGCGCAGTAGTCTTGTAATAAAAGAGCATGTAGTGTGTAGGCGCTGGCTGGCATAGTTTTCCTTTCGCTGGGGATCTGAGGTGGGCCTGATCGGGATAAAGGCCCACAGCCAGGTGGCAGTGCACCTCACACACTGGGCTGAGGCCCGCAAACTCCCCTTAAGCCTAAAGCCTCTGATCGTGCTGGGTGTGGCTAGAGGGGGTGGGGAGAGGCACAACCTGTCACTTTTCCAGACTTCTACCTCCTCAGGCAGAGGCTGGCAATTTTTGAATATGGGACACCTCAGAGAACCTTACTAAAGGCCAACGCTTCCAGTGCAAGAGACCTGTGGCAGGTCTCACTGAAATCATGGCGGAGAATCTTGGCAAGCTGCGTCTGGACTCCAGCGTGTCTGGCTCAACCTGGTGGGTGTTGACTTCCTTAGCAACTGACAGACACTGTCACAGGTTCTGAAATCTTTCCTGTAGAATTGTGCCAGACCCACAACCACCTGGACTCTGCCAAGGTGAGGGTCAACAGGAGAACAGGTGCATACCACCTGCCCTGCACACACAGATGGCATCTCCAGGATAGAAATAGACATTTTTGAGCTATGATTTTCCTTTTATACCATGGGTGTGTGTCTTACCGTTCTTTTAAATAGTGGGTCTCGCTGCTCATACAGGTGCATTTCTACTCCAGTGTTCCTGTTTAATATTCAGTCAGATTTCATTTTAAATATTTATTTACATTACAGACAGTGGAAGAGAAAAGTAGAACATCAACCGGTTGCCTCTTGCACGTTCCCCAAACAGGGACCAAACCAACAAACTAGACATGTGCCCTGACCAGGAATTGAACAAGTGACCTTTTCCTTTCAGGAGGATGCCCAACCAACTGAGCAACATTGGTCAGGACAATATACTCACTTATATTTTAAATTGCTCTTTTCCATTGGGTTCTTTCGAGGAAATGATTGGCAATTCAATACTGAAACAGTGGATTCAGAGACCATTAGCGATAGCTTAGAGTTAAGTCAATTCATCCCTTTATTGTACTGTTTCAAGACTACTTAAAAAATTAATACTTTACTGAGTACCAGGAGTCCTCTAGGCGAGGGTACTCTGTCAGAATGTATCTATGTTGTTGCTTTTTCAATTCTCATCCACTTAACCATACTTTTTCCTAAAATGTAAAACAGAAATTTAGAACACGAAGGTAAGGGAGCAGTTACAGTTTTCTGTCGCATAAAAGAGTAGATAGTAAGTAAGGGTTAGTTTTAGTCACAGATAAGGTGGATTTGCCAGGAAGAGTAATGCTAATTCGCATTAGTCATAGTAGTAGGGTTCTTTACCTCAAATGAGAAAATGTGCAAGATACTCAGCCTTTTCAGGTTGTCGCCCGCCCCTCCCGGTTCTGGTGAAAGAATGCCCCAGAGATTGACTCTGAGATAATTAAACCCTGAGTGAGGAATCTGAGGATTACAGGGAGGAGGGGAAGGGGTGTTTGGAGGGGGACCTGGCTGCTGGCTCCGCTCCTAATTACAAAATAGAAGAGAAACAGGATGTTGATTCACCCCTGAAAATCTCAAACCCTGACCCCCTAGTTAAGATTAATGAAAGCATACCTGGCATATAATCCTAGGGCTGAAGCTAAGTGTTGGCCTGGTGGAAGATTTCCTGCTGGGCACTCGAGGTGTTTATGGAGCACCTGGGCTGGCAGAAGAGTGGTGCTTGGAGAGGGGTTGAGTGGGGAGACTGAAAAGGGGGGATTCCAAGACATGG